TTTCTTGGTTGGAAAACTAAATGCTTTACTTCAATTCATAGCTCATTAAATAGGAGATTACAGAGGGAAATTCCTTGTTGGATTCGGCCAGGCTAGGGTAATCCAACTTAAACTAAAACTCCTAATTACCTACTCCTAATGGTAACACAACTCTTACTTAAGAAGATAAAAATAAGACAAGGATAAGGCATAAGATAAGATAAGGGATAAGGATAAGATAGGGATAAGGTAAGTTGGCTTGACGTGCCCAGATAAGGGTGGGCCCACCCCTATGAGCTATCGTGTGGGCCCCACTCTGCTGCTGCTGTCGGGTACGTGCGCACGACTCATGGTGCCGCCGCTGCGCGGTGCCGCTGCCGCACAGTGCATGCGCGCGGCTCATGGCGCTGCTGCCGTGCAGTGTCGGACGTGCGCGCGGTGCGTGCTGCCGTGCGGTGCACTGCTAGGCTGCTGTGCGGCGTTGCTGGGCAGTGCGTGTTGCTGGGCGGCCCGTTGTGTGTGTTGCTGCCTATGGCTGCACCGCAGTGCGCTGCCGTGTGGTGTGTCCATAACATCACACCCCGCGTAGAGCGTGCGCGCGGCTCATGGCGCTGCTGCCGTGCGTGTGCGCGGTGCATGTTGCCGTGCGGTGCGTGTTACGCGCTGCCGGGCAGTGCATGCTGCGCGTTGTCGGGCGTTGTGCGGCGCTACGTGCTACACACTATCAGGCGGTGCGTGCGGTACGCTGTCGGACTGCTGTGCAGCGCTATCGGGCGATGCGTGCTGCTAAACGGCCCACTGTGTGAACTACTGCCTATGGCTGCGCCGAATGCGCTGCCGGGTGGTGTGTCCATAACATCTAATCTCTCTCCCCCTCTCTCTCTCACCTCATCCCCATCAGATCTAATCTTCTTAGCTCTAGGCCGCCCCTTCTCTCTCCCCTCTCTCGGATGAGTGATGACTGATGCCTCTCCTTTTATTTCTCCTATATATTTTTTTTCGTTGTTGCTGTGTTATTGATATGTTTGTTGAGTCGTGGAATTCAATTCGTCCTCATAAAGTCATACCTCATTGATAGGGATGGTCATCTAGTGGGGCACGTGGAGTTGAAAGAACATCCAACGGTTTAGATCGGAAGAAAGAAGTACTCCCAGGGACGAGACCGATATTTTGCTCTTTTGATGATACGCCCCAACTCCCAAGATAAGATACCAGATGGGTAATGGGCTAATGGCCCATTTTTGGGTATTCCAGTGTCTAATCACTAAACAATATTCTTTCTTGCGCAGTGTTAATGGTCATGGATTTGGAACCCGAATCCACTCGTCACTTGACAAGGAGGACGCTCTTCGGCTCTAATCTTTGTCTGCTTCCTTGGTGTTGGCGAAAACGGGCCACCCCTCATTGCCCTCATCCGTGTCTGTAGCATTTTACGGTTTTTACTGATATGAGTAAATACTGAACTCGGTAAGGGATGAAAATAGGTTGGGTTGGTTCAAGGTTTGGGTCCATCAGGTAGGTCCCTTCAGACTACAGTCCAAAACCTATGAAATATCAGGCCGACAGGAGTAGGCTCGTAGTAAATTTCTGGGTCCCGATCAAAAGACCAATCTTAGCTGAGTTTTGCAGTGGACAAGTACGTCCTTAAAACCCAAATCCACTCCATAATTGGGTATATCTAATTTCTTATCTTTTATCATTGTACAAAAAGCAGCATTAAGCAACCAGCTGTGTACTGTTTTTTAAGGACAGTTTTGCCCATCTAATTCAATATTAGTTTTCTCAATATTTTTGTCAGATTTAAATAAATAGTATATTAAATTGACAAAATCTATGATGCATCTAGTGTACTATGCATAAATGATGTAATTGGTTGAACGTGAAAATATATCTTATGAATTAAAAAGGTTTTTGGGAGAAAATTCATCCAAACTTACTTTATAAATTTTTACCTTACTTTGCACTCGTAATAATTTAAAAACTTGTGATGCACACCGACTTATGACACCATACAAATATCATCCTTTGTATTGGTATCGATTTTCCTAATTGCCAACTGTACAATAAAATAAGGGAAAATCTATGATACGGGAAATATATGGTATAGAAAGAGTTTTGATCAATCAAAATCCACTCATGAATTTTGATAAACAACAATAATTAGTTATTACATTTATGATTCTACTTGATTGGTCAAATTAATGTTTTTGGAATATCATATCTTTTCCATATCATAGTTGAACTCATAAAATAAAAAATTGTAAAATGGGGGTAAATAAAGATTCTCCTAAATTAGACCATGGTTGATTGAGATTTTAATTTAACATGCAACCAATATTAATGGATGCACCATAGTTGAAATCTATTAAGTTTCATTTTCTTTATAGGCATATCATTTACTTTTTATGAATGTTTATAATGTAACTTTTTGCTCTCAAAGTAAATAGCATATT